ACTTACGGGTTCAAACGGGTACTCTCGCTAAAACGTCCTGACTAATGGTGGCCGAATTTCTGGGTTCTGCTATTTTATACGCCCTTAGAGTATGACGTTTGTAGGAGGAGATGTTACTTATCTGTTTACAAGGTCTTGTGTCTGTGGTGAGCCTTGACTGTTCAAAGGAGTTCAGCTCAGCCCCTCATTTTGATGCTTGAAGGTACATCTTCGTCGATTAGCGATAACAAGGACAAAGGCAGCGGGTAGTTGAGAGCACCCCTAGCTACAGTAATGTTCTGAGGTACACACAAGAATGATTTTTCTACGCAGTCCTTCCCGACCTTATTAGGCAGGAATGCTGTACACAGTGTCATGTTGACGACTTGATCCAGACCGCCTCTGATCGTCCCGATCTGAGGCAATCAATGAACTCCAGGAAGCCCCGAGGCCAATTTCAGGCAATCAGGGGCAATCATTTGATCGCGATTAACTGATCGCCCCAACTCGATCAACCGCCTCAAACACCCCAATCAATCACGATCACACAAAATCAGTCACGATCACTTGATTGCATGGGATTGGGGAACTATGCAAAACCTGCGAATCAGTTACAGTGTCTTGTTAAATTTCGTTAGGTCGTCGCACATGCATCTTTAATGTGGAATTGGCGATATTACATAGAAACATAGAATTCGCTACGCTTCGTTCTCGCCAAAAATGGGACGAAAGGGTTAGAAAATGCTGAAGCGCTTGCGAGACAGGCGATTTGAATTTTCTAGGAATATCAGTACTGATCGGGCGGCGCGAGCAATGCAATCACAAGCAACCCGATCAGATCCGCCCCGATATGATCAGCGCCGACCAGAGACGGTCTGACCACGTCCTAAAGGTCACTTCTACAGAATAGTCCGGATTCGAAAAGAGGCTACTGAAGCACTTGCTTCTGGAGTTTCAATGCTGTGAGGATTTGTTTCTAGCTTGCCATGTGAGGAGAAACTAAATTGTATGTACCTCGCTGGGAACAATACACAGTTTTGTGGTGCTCGAGGAAATTTGGGTAGCCCATATTTCCGGTTTGGGTGAGGAACAGAGTTGCTCCTGCCCGCGCGCAGGCGCAACACCTACGCGCTTCCTCTCCGCTCGGTTGCTCTCTGGGATGATCTGCGGTACTGTAACGACGTGAGAATAATTCCTCACCCTGAATTTCTATATTGGATCTTGATGAGAAATACTGTACTGTACAGAATTTTCCCGCCTCGGATTTGCTGCCGAATGGAACCAGAATACCAGTGCTACCGTGTGTAACTTCGGATGGCTGGAGAATTTCCACGATATGGACCCTACCCGACAGTCCCCGGCAGCCAGCAAAAGAAGAGCCGACTGACATAGCGGTTGAAAGCGGTGAGCCAGAGAACTTCCACATGGAACAGAAGCACGTGTGAAATACTCCCCTGAAGCTTCACTGTGAGCCCATTAGAGCTGGTTCAGCGTACGCTATAAGGAGCAGTTGGAGGATATGTTATGGAGATTCTTAAGTTCTCTACTCTCAATAAAAAATATAGAGAACTACATCAATTTCAGAGTGGATCCTGTGATACTTATAGGCCTCAACTCGCAGCCTGATATCTCGTTTCTGTGAGGCTAAATTTGAGGCTGCGTATGCTCAAGATGGATGGTAGGAAGTGGAAATGGAAATGGAAGACCAAAAAGAACTAGGTACAAGGGGCGTGCAGTGCAGATGAAATATTTTAGAGCTTGTAGAATTTCAAGTCTCGCTTTGCCGAAGATTTTGTGCTAGAAGCTGCCAAATAGCAGCCTAGATGCTTTAGGCAGGGGTATTCGCGGCCAGCATCGGAGCTGCTACTATATTCCATACGCAAATTCAGTGAGCGTATTAGGCAAACAAAAGCAGATAGCGTTAGCAGCGCCGTTTACTAATGGAAGCAGGACGAGACGGTCACGATGCCATCTCCGCAGGTGTCGCAAACGGCGACAACGTGTGCGACATTCGCGAAGACGGTAACGACGACGATAACGATGACGATGCGCTGGACGATCTTTTGGAGTCGTCGTTCCAGGAGCACTGCCGCGAGAAGCTAGCCGTCGCAAAATCCATTCCGGCTGCCGTCAGTAACCCAATAACGTCGTGTCGCGTCCCGACAAGCTCTGCGGGGCTCGAATTCCGCGAATTCCGCGACCCGCTCCCGTTGCGCGCAGGACACGCCAGCCGCCACTCGTCTGAGCTCGAATTCCGCGAATTCCGCGACTCGCAGGCGTTGCGCACAACGCACACCTCGTTTGAGCTATTACCTCGGCGTGGCGGCAGCGCGATTGTAGCGGAGGGTGGTCGTTGCGTGCAGAACACGCCAGTATCCACTGCGGCTGTTAAGAGTGAAGCTAAGGAAATATTTCCGGTTCTGGTACTGGTGGTGGTTCTACTCTCGCTGCTGCTGTTGCCGTTGCTGCGCCTGGAGTTGTTGCGGCTATCGAGAATCCCTCAACGGCAACACTATCAAAGCCAATCCTCTCCAATTCGCCCTTTTCCGCATCCCTTGACGCGTCCTCCGCGAATCTGGACCGTCCGAAGATCTCCTTCGCGTTTCCAGGATGGGCGGTCGAGATCAGCCGGGCGAAGGAATCGACGGTCGTGGTGGACAGCGCGAGCGGGGGGCGGAGGGGAGATATCCGAAAGGGAGAGAAGCGAAAGAGGAGAACCAGACCTGGACAGGAGGGGGGAGAGGGAGAGAATAATCAAGATTTGGAGGGGGGAGGGGAGAGAGAAGAGGCGGACGAGAGAGAGGAGAGGGAGGAGAGGGAGAGAGTGTGGATGGGTGTAGAGCTAGGGGACAGGGTACCGTTCCTCTCCTTGCCTCAAGAGATTCTGACCATGCTCTGTTCAAGGGTGTCCTGGCGAGACTTATGCACACTTAGGTAAGCATCCTGAGTTATCAATGACTTCAAACTTAGGTAAGCCCTGGAGTATTCATGCTTCTGCATTTGCTTACCATTTTCTCCACCCGCTTTGCCTTGTTACATGCCCTCGCACTTCCCCCAGGGTTACATCCAAAACCGTACGGGATCAACTAGACAGAGATGAAATCTGGGCGGCGGCAGCAGCAGAGGCAAGCAGGCAGGGCGACATCAAGCTGCCCTGGGCACGCAAGTCGTTTGCAGGCTTGGGAGCCGTGATAAGCGGGCAGGCGATAGGTGGGGAGGCGATAAGTGGGCAAGCAATAAGCGGGCAGGCGATAGGCGGGCAGGCGATAAGCGGGCAGACGATATGCGGGCAGGTGATAAGCGGGCAGGCGATAAGCGGGCAAGCGACAAGCGCTAGTCTGGGTGATGGGGAGTGCACGATGGAAGGTGGTGCAGCAGGCGATGCATGGTGGCAGCAGCATCTGTTGCTGCTGCAGCAACAGCAGCAGTCCCACATACCCATGTGAGTTGACTTCTGAGTAAGCGGGACTCGAAAGTCCCCTCAGCTGCAACAGCAGAACTGTACATGCTCTTGTGAGTTTGGACTGTACATGCTCTTGTGAGTTTGGACTGTACATGCTCTTGTGAGTTTGGACTGTACATGCTCTTGTGAGTTTGGACTGTACATGCTCTTGTGAGTTTGGACTGTACATGCTCATGTGAGTTTGGACTGTACATGCTCTTGTGAGTTTGGACTGTACATGCTCTTGTGAGTTTGGACTGTACATGCTCATGTGAGTTTGGCTGTACATGCTCATGTGAGTTTGGAATGTTCATGCTCATGTGAGTTTGGAATGTACATGCTCATGTGAGTTTGGAATGTACATGCTCATGTGAGTTTGGACTGTACATGCTCATGTGAGTTTGGACTGTACATGCTCATGTGAGTTTGGACTGTACATGCTCATGTGAGTTTGGAATGTACATGCTCATGTGAGTTTGGACTGTACATGCTCATTGTGAGTTTGGACCTGTACATGCTCATGTGAGTTTGGACTGTACATGCTCGTGTGAGTTATGGACTGTACATGCTCATGTGAGTTTGGAATGTACATGCTCATGTGAGTTTGGAATGTACATGCTCGTGTGAGTTTGGACTGTACATTGCTCATGTGAGTTTGGAATGTACATGCTCATGTGAGTTTGGAATGTACCTGCTCATGTGAGTTTGGAATGTACATGCTCATGTGAGTTTGGAATGTACATGCTCATGTGAGTTTGGAATGTACATGCTCATGTGAGTTTGGACTGTACATGCTCATGTGAGTTTGGACTGTACATGCTCATGTGAGTTTGGACTGTACATGCTCTTGTGAGTTTGGACTGTACATGCTCATGTGAGTTTGGCTGTACATGCTCATGTGAGTTTGGCTGTACATGCTCATGTGAGTTTGGAATGTTCATGCTCATGTGAGTTTGGCTGTACATGCTCATGTGAGTTTGGAATGTTCATGCTCATGTGAGTTTGGACTGTACATGCTCCTCACCTGCTTTTGACCTGCTTTTGACTTCCTGCAACCCACCCTGGATAGATGGTGGGATGATGAAATGGATAGGTAGAGAGATGAATACTCAGCAACCTTGTTTTGGTTATTTTCCCTCTCCCCTACAGGCACTACCTCTTCAAGTCTCTCGTGCTGTCCACACGCATACGAGAGAAGCTACCAGTGCTGTCGCCTGCCCTTTGACTTTCTGCAATCCACCCTGGACAGATGGTGGGATGATGAGATGGATTGGTGGTGGGGGGAGGAGAAGAAGAAGAAGCAGCATGCGCAGTTGGGGGGGAAGGATCGTGTAGGCGATAATCAGCAGCAGCACCATCAGCGGACGGTAGTGAAAGGGGTAGCTGGGAAAAGCAGGGAAGGGAAGAGGAGGAGGAGGATGGTTGGGAGTGCGAGGGAGTGTGAAGGAAGGGGGGAAGATGGGAGTGGGAGGAACAGGGGCAGAGGATAGGATTGGTGAGAAAATGAGAGTGATTCAGGGTTTAAGTAGGGGTTGTGCAGGGAGAGGGGACAGGAAGAGTAGGGAGAGGCATCTTGAATATGCATCACAGGAAGCAGCATCACAGGAAGCAGCATCACAGGAAAGCAGCATCACAGGAAGCAGCATCACAGGAAGCAGCAGCACAGGAAGCAGCAGCACAGGAAGCAGCAGCACAGGAAGCAGTAGGTTGTGCAGCCCAGAATTCAGTAGGAGGTGGTTCAAATGTGGCTGCAGCAGCAGCAGCAGCTACCGCAGCAGGCACGGCTGCAGCAGCAGCAGCACAAGAAGCAGCATCACAGGAAGCAGCATCACAGGAAGCAGCATCACAGGAAGCAGCAGCACAGGAAGCAGCATCACAGGAAGCAGCAGCACAGGAAGCAGCATCACAGGAAGCAGCATCACAGGAAGCAGCAGCACAGGAAGCAGCATCACAGGAAGCAGCAGCACAGGAAGCAGCATCACAGGAAGCAGCAGCACAGGAAGCAGCAGCACAGGAAGCAGCAGGTTGTGCAGCCCAGAAGTCAGTAGGAGGTGGTTCAAATGTGGCTGCAGCAGCAGCAGCAGCTACCGCAGCAGGCACGGCAGCAGCAGTGCTTTTCTCGCAAACAGTAGCAGAAGAGGCAGCAGGAGTAGCAGCAGTGGCAGCAGCACCAGCAGCGAAACTAGCAGAGGCAGGGGGAGAGGCAGAGGCAGAGGCAATGGTAGCAGGCAACAGCAGCAGCAGGAGTGCATTTCTCACAGGCAGTAGCACAAGAGGCGGCAGGGGAGGCAGCAGCAGCAGCACGAGCAGCGAACGTATCAGAAGCAGAGGCAGAGGCAATGGTAGCAGGCACAGCAGCAGCAGGAGTGCATTTCTCACAGGCAGTAGCACAAGAGGCGGCAGGGGAGGCAGCAGCAGCAGCACGAGCAGCGAACGTATCAGAAGCAGAGGCAGAAGCAGTGGTAGCAGGCACAGCAGCAGGAGTGCATTTCTCACAGGCTGTAGCTGAAGAGGCGGCAGGGGAGGCAGCAGCAGCAGCAGCGTCTCTTCTGGTGGAGGCTCTACTGGCCTACCCCCTGCTGTCCCTGCTGCCCTTTGCGCCCCTGCCTGTTGTTGGTCCGAAGGAGGGGGAGGATGGGGAGGAGTCAGAGGAGGAGGGTGATAAGGAGGGAAAGGAGAGAGAAGAGAGAGAAGAAGGCAAGGAGGAAGAGGAGGGAGAGGGGGGAGAGGAGGAAGAGGAGGACGAAGAGGGCGAAGAGGAGGAGGAAGAGGAGGAAAAGGAGGAGGAAGAGGAGGAAGAAGAGGAAGAGGAGGAAGAGGAGGAGGAAAAGGGTGAAGAGGAAGAGGAGTCAAATACAGCAGCGGCACAGGAGGAGGATGAATTAGACCTTGCAACGGTGCAAGCACATGATTCCGATGCGGTGAGGCGGGCAGTTAAAAAACTTACTAGTTTCAACTGGGCCGTGGCCTATGAGGGGCTGGCTGTGGTATTTGGGAGTAGGGCGGATAGGATTGCGTGGGAGGTGGAGGGGGGATGGGGAGGAGAGGGGTCGAGAGAGAAGGGAGAATTGGGAGGAGAGGGGAGGGAGGAGGGGTGTGAGGAACAGTATGGGGCAGCGAGTGAGAGGGGGGCAGCAGAGAAGCGTTATATATCCATAGGTGAGGAGGGAGAGGAGTGGAGAGGGGAGTGCGTAGAGAGAAAGTATAGGAGGGAGGAGGAGGAGGATGGAGAGAGGGATGGAGAGAGGTACGAAGGAGGAGGAGGAGGAGGAGGAGGAGGAGGAGGAGGAGGAGGAGGAGGAGGAGGAGGAGGAGGAGGAGGAGGAGGAGGAGGAGGAGGAGGAGGAGGAGGAGGAGGAGGAGGAGGGGAGGAAAGACGAGAAGGGATGGAAAAAGGAGAAGGGAAGGGAGGTGGGAATGGAGGAGAGGGAGTAAGGAAGGAGGAGGAGTGGGAGGAATGGGATAGAGAGTGGGCAATAGAGGATGCAGAGAAAGTGGGTCGGTTGCTGGTAGGGGGGAAGAGGAAGCGGGGAGGAAGGGGAGACGGGAAGGGAGTGGAGAACGATAAGGGTGGTGAGAGTGATGCGAGATGCACGAGGATAAAGAAAGAAGGAAAGGGAGTGAGGCAGGAAGGTATGTTTGGTTCAAAACTCCCAAGGAAAGATCCCCGAAAGAAGGAGCCGGCGTTTGAAGCGAAAGGGGAAGGACGTGAGGAAGAAAATATTAGTACAGGAAGGCTACAGCTAGGAGCAGGCGGCGGTATTGGTGTTCAAGGTGCAACTTCTGCTGCAGTTTCAAGGGAGGGAGAAGCTTTTGAGAATTCTCAACAGTTAAGGGCAGGCAATATGGGTGCTCAAGGGGTAACTTCTGCTGCTGTTTCAAGGGAGGGAGAAAAGCTGGAAGCAGCAGCGAGTCTGTGGCAGAGGGATAGTATTGTGGATAGTGAGCTCACAGCACCTAGCAAGGCACAGAGGGAGGGAGGAGGGAAGCTGGGAGCAGCAGTGAGGTTGTGGCAGCGGGTGGTACAGCAGTGGGGGGTGTACCGGAGGTGGCTCAAGCTGGTGGCGCTGCATTGCCCCAACCTGCAGTTTGAAGTGATGATTGAACGCGCCAGGTGAGTTGCGGTGGGGTGCGGTGACGTGCGGTGGAGCAGGGCAGGTAGCAGTGAGGTTGTGGCGGAGGGCAAGCAGCACACCTCTTATCAAGCTCAAGCTGGTGGCGTTGCATTGCCCCAACCTGCAGTTTAAATTGATGATTGAACGAGCGAGTGATTCACCGGGTGAAGTGCGGTGCAGTGAGGTGAGGTGAGATGCGGTGGGGCAGAGCAGGCAGCACGCCTCTACTCAAGCTGGTGGCGTTGCATTGCCCCAACCTGCAGTTTGAAGTGATGATTGAACGCACCAGGTGAGATGCGGTGGGGTGCGGTGAGGTTGGGTGGAACAGAGGGGGTTGGAGGGGTGGGTGGGGGGTGTACCGCAGGTGGCTGAAGCTGGTGTCGTTGCATTGCCCCAACCTGCAGCTTGAAGTGATGATTGAACGCGCCAGGTGAGTTGCAGTGCGATGCAGTGAGGTGAGGTGAGGTGGAGCAGGGCAGGCAGCTGTGAGGTTGTGCCAGAGGGTGCTGCAGCAGTGGGGGGTGAGGTGAGGTGAGATGGGAGAGAAAGAGAGGAGGCGGCAGACAAGTGCTTTTGAAGTGTTTTCGAAGTGTTTTTGAAGTGTTTTGTGTGACAATTTTCACCGCTTCAGCACCCTCTGAGGCAATCCAGAGGGATCTATTTTTGAAGTGCCTCAGAAGTGTTTGGTTGTGGCAATTTTCTAGTATAAGCCGGCCTTGGAGTCGACTCAAAAGTCACCAGTATAAGCCGGCCTTTGAGTCGACTCAAAAGTCACCAGTATAAGGTGGCCTTTGAGTTGACTCAAAAGTCACCAGTATAAGCCGGCCTTTGAGTCGACTCAAAAGTCACCAGTGTAAGCCGGCCTTTGAGTCGACTCAAAAGTCACCAGTATAAGCCGGCCTTTGAGTCGACTCAAAAGTCACCAGTATAAGCCCGGCCTTTAAAGCCCGCGGCCCAAATTGCGAAGCGCGCAGAGCTACCTTAGTAATCCTGGCGGGGAGGGGCGTGTGAAACCAAACTCAAAAGTAAAAACAGAACTTGCGTAAAAAACAGAACTTGCGTCAAAAACAGAACTTGCGTCAAAAACAGAACCTGCGTAAAAAACAGAACTTGCGTCAAAAACCACCTGAAAACCACCTGAAAAACACCTGGGTCGACCTTACTAAACTTGTGCAACTTTGGCTGCGAGCTTTAACTAGCAGTCACCACCCTGTACTCGCAGAAAGCTTTTTGAGACGTCTCAAAGCAGTCTCCACCCTGTACACGCAGAAAAGCTTGAAGCAGCAGCGGCCCTAGGCATGAATGCCCCCTTCCAGTCTCGTTACGTTTCCTCACTTCTCTGTATCCATTCATCCATTTCTTCCTCTCCTCTACTCCCAATCCCTCTGTTCCCCCTCTCTCCAGATCGAACCACCACTCGGCTACACCTACAGTCTACGACAAGGGACTCATCAGGGTGTTTTTGAGAATTCTCAAAAACACCCTGCAGCATCTCGAACCACCACCGGCTACACCTACAGTCTATGACAAGGGACTCATCAGCTTCAGGTGGAACCACTGCTCACCCCATTCCACCCCCCTCCGATCCTTCCTTCCCCCTCTTTCCCTCTTCTCTCGGCCACACCACACCGACAGGCTATGACAAAAGAGTCATCAGCTTCAGGTGCTGCAGGGTTTTTTTGAGAAGTCTAAAAAAAAACCCTGCAGGGGGTCATCAGCTTCAGGTGGAACCACCGTTCACCATACTTCAACTCCCTCTACCTCCCCCCACCCACCCCATTCCACCCCGCTCCTATCCTTCCTCCTCTCTCTTTCTCGCCAGGTCGAACCACCACTCGGCTACACCGACAGTCTATGACAAGGGGGTCATCAGCTTCAGGTAATGCACTCAACATTATACCCGCCCACTTTTTATCCATGGTGCTTTTACTCCCTTCTCTCCCGCATGTTCGCATGACTTCCCTCTTTGTTTCTCCCCTTTTCCCTCTCTCGTATTCTCCTTTTGAGAATTCTTTGAGAATTCTCTCTCATATTCTCCATTTCACAATTCTCTCTCGTTTTCTCCTTTTGAGAATTCTTGAGAATTCTCTCTCATATTCTCCTTTCGACATTTCTCTCTCGTATTCTCCTGGTGCCATTGATCTCTCTTCATTTCGCTCTCGTGCGTTCCCTTCTCAACCTCTCAGAAACAACGTTCTTCTAGCCTGTGCCTTGTGCCTTGTGCCTTGTGCCTTGTGCCTTGTGCCTTGTGCCTTGTGCCTTGTGCCTTGCGCCGCTGCTTTCAAGAGTGTCTTCTCATTCTCATCGACGTTGCCCATGCTGCTTTTGACGCCCCATACTGCCTTCTGTTACTCTCGTCTCTCTTGTATGGTTCCCACCTCACCATCCCTGGAGCAACGTTCTTTTAGCCTTAGGCCTGCGCCGCCAGTTTCAAGAGTCTATTCAACTTCTCCTCAAACCCACTTCTGTTACTCTCATCCCTCTCGTATGTTTTCATCTCACCTTCCCAGGAGCAATGTGCTTTTAGCCTTTGGCCTGCGCCGCCGCTTTCAAGAGTCTCTCCTTCTTCTCATCGACGCCGCTCACACTGCTTTCTCTTCCCTTCCTTCTTGTGCGTTGCCTTCCATTCCCATCCTCCCAGGAGCAGTGTCCTGTTAGCCTTAGGCCTGCGCCGCCAGTTTCAAGAGTCTATTTAACTTCTCCTCAAACTCCCTTCTGTTACTCTCATCCCTCTCGTATTTTTTCATCTCACCTTCCCAGGAGCAATGTGCTTTTAGCCTTTGGCCTGCGCCGCCGCTTTCAAGAGTCTCTCCTTCTTCTCATCGACGCCGCTCACACTGCTTTCTACGCCCCAACGCACGGCACTTCCGCTTCAAGTGCTGCTGCAATAGTCCCTGACACAGCGCACCTGGTTCCACTGCTAAAGCAGATTAAGCATCTCTTTCAAGTAAGTGTGATCTTCGTCTTTTTGGTGTGCATTACAGGGCAGATCAAATCACCCGTATTTAAAACGGAAATCTAGCCCGCCATATATCCAACCTATTGCGGGTAGGACAGATGGCACTGCATCACAGGTCAGCTCAATCACCTGTTCCGAAGGAAATTTTGTAAGCGCCTCAAAAATCAGCTCAATCACCTGTTCCGAAGGAAATTTTGTAAGCGCCTCAAAAATCAGCTCAATCACCTGTTCCGAAGGAAATTCTGTAAGCGCCTCAAAAATCAGCTCAATCACCTGTTCCGAAGGAAATTCTGCAAGCGCCTCAAAAATCAGCTCAATCACCTGTTCCGAAGGAAATTCTGTAAGCGCCTCAAAAATCAGCTCAATCACCTGTTCCGAAGGAAATTCTGTAAGCGCCTCAAAAATCAGCTCAATCACCTGTTCCGAAGGAAATTCTGTAAGCGCCTCAAAAATCAGCTCAATCACCTGTTCCGAAGGAAATTCTGTAAGCGCCTCAAAAATCAGCTCAATCACCTGTTCCGAAGGAAATTCTGTAAGCGCCTCAAAAATCAGCTCAATCACCTGTTCCGAAGGAAATTCTGTAAGCGCCTCAAAAATCAGCTCAATCACCTGTTCCGAAGGAAATTTTGTAAGCGCCTCAAAAATCAGCTCAATCACCTGTTCCGAAGGAAATTCTGTAAGCGCCTCAAAAATCAGCTCAATCACCTGTTCCGAAGGAAATTCTGTAAGCGCCTCAAAAATCAGCTCAATCACCTGTTCCGAAGGAAATTTTGTAAGCGCCTCAAAAATCAGCTCAATCACCTGTTCCGAAGGAAATTCTGTAAGCGCCTCAAAAATCAGCTCAATCACCTGTTCCGAAGGAAATTTTGTAAGCGCCTCAAAAATCAGCTCAATCACCTGTTCCGAAGGAAATTCTGTAAGCGCCTCAAAAATCAGCTCAATCACCTGTTCCGAAGGAAATTCTGTAAGCGCCTCAAAAATCAGCTCAATCACCTGTTCCGAAGGAAATTCTGTAAGCGCCTCAAAAATCAGCTCAATCACCTGTTCCGAAGGAAATTTTGTAAGCGCCTCAAAAATCAGCTCAATCACCTGTTCCGAAGGAAATTCTGTAAGCGCCTCAAAAATCAGCTCAATCACCTGTTCCGAAGGAAATTCTGTAAGCGCCTCAAAAATCAGCTCAATCACCTGTTCCGAAGGAAATTCTGTAAGCGCCTCAAAAATCAGCTCAATCACCATTTCCGAAGGAAATTCTGTAAGCGCCTCAAAAATCAGCTCAATCACCTGTTCCGAAGGAAATTTTGTAAGCGCCTCAAAAAATCAGCTCAATCACCTGTTCCGAAGGAAATTCTGTAAGCGCCTCAAAAATCAGCTCAATCACCTGTTCTGAAGGAAATTCTGTAAGCGCCTCAAAAATCAGCTCAATCACCTGTTTCCGAAGGAAATTCTGTAAGCGCCTCAAAAATCAGCTCAATCACCTGTTCCGAAGGAAATTCTGTAAGCGCCTCAAAAATCAGCTCAATCACCTGTTCCGAAGGAAATTCTGTAAGCGCCTAAAAAATCAGCTCAATCACCTGTTCTGAAGGAAATTCTGTAAGCGCCTCAAAAATCAGCTCAATCACCTGTTCCGAAGGAAATTTTGTAAGCGCCTCAAAAATCAGCTCAATCACCTGTTTCCGAAGGAAATTCTGTAAGCGCCTCAAAAATCAGCTCAATCACCTGTTCCGAAGGAAATTCTGTAAGCGCCTCAAAAATCAGCTCAATCACCTGTTCTGAAGGAAATTCTGTAAGCGCCTAAAAAATCAGCTCAATCACCTGTTCGGAAGGAAATTTTGTAAGCGCCTCAAAAATCAGCTCAATCACCTGTTCCGAAGGAAATTCTGTAAGCGCCTAAAAATCAGCTCAATCACCTGTTCCGAAGGAAATTCTATAAGCGCCTCAAAAATCAGCTCAATCACCTGTTCCGAAGGAAATTTTGTAAGCGCCTAAAAAATCAGCTCAATCACCTGTTCCGAAGGAAATTCTGTAAGCGCCTCAAAAATCAGCTCAATCACCTGTTCCGAAGGAAATTCTGTAAGCGCCTCAAAAATCAGCTCAATCACCTGTTTCGAAGGAAATTCTGTAAGCGCCTCAAAAATCAGCTCAATCACCTGTTCCGAAGGAAATTCTGTAAGCGCCTCAAAAATCTGCTCAATCACCTGTTCCGAAGGAAATTCTGTAAGCGCCTCAAAAATCAGCTCAATCACCTGTTCCGAAGGAAATTCTGTAAGCGCCTCAAAAATCAGCTCAATCACCTGTTCCGAAGGAAATTTTGTAAGCGCCTCAAAAATCAGCTCAATCACCTGTTCCGAAGGAAATTCTGTAAGCGCCTCAAAAATCAGCTCAATCACCTGTTCCGAAGGAAATTTTGTAAGCGCCTCAAAAATCAGCTCAATCACCTGTTCCGAAGGAAATTCTGTAAGCGCCTCAAAAATCAGCTCAATCACCTGTTCCGAAGGAAATTCTGTAAGCGCCTCAAAAATCAGCTCAATCACCTGTTCCGAAGGAAATTCTGTAAGCGCCTCAAAAATCAGCTCAATCACCTGTTCCGAAGGAAATTCTGTAAGCGCCTCAAAAATCAGCTCAATCACCTGTTCCGAAGGAAATTCTGTAAGCGCCTCAAAAATCAGCTCAATCACCTGTTCCGAAGGAAATTCTGTAAGCGCCTCAAAAATCAGCTCAATCACCTGTTCCGAAGGAAATTCTGTAAGCGCCTCAAAAATCAGCTCAATCACCTGTTCCGAAGGAAATTCTGTAAGCGCCTCAAAAATCAGCTCAATCACCTGTTCCGAAGGAAATTTTGTAAGCGCCTCAAAAATCAGCTCAATCACCTGTTCCGAAGGAAATTCTGTAAGCGCCTCAAAAATCAGCTCAATCACCTGTTCCGAAGGAAATTTTGTAAGCGTCTCAAAAATCAGCTCAATCACCTGTTCCGAAGGAAATTCTGTAAGCGCCTCAAAAATCAGCTCAATCACCTGTTCCGAAGGAAATTCTGTAAGCGCCTCAAAAATCAGCTCAATCACCTGTTCCGAAGGGAATTCTGTAAGCGCCTCAAAAATCAGCTCAATCACCTGTTCCGAAGGAAATTCTGTAAGCGCTTCAAAAATCAGCTCAATCACCTGTTCCGAAGGAAATTCTGTAAGCGCCTCAATAATCAGCTCTATCACCTGTTCCGAAGGCAATTTTGTAAGCGCCTCAAAAATCAGCTCAATCACCTGTTCCGAAGGAAATTCTGTAAGCGCCTCAAAAATCAGCTCAATCACCTGTTCCGAAGGAAATTTTGTAAGCGCCTCAAAAGTCAGCTCAATCACCTGTTCCGAAGGAAATTCTGTAAGCGCCTCAAAAATCAGCTCAATCACCTGTTCCGAAGGAAATTTTGTAAGCGCCTCAATAATCAGCTCAATCACCTGTTCCGAAGGAAATTAGGTAGGCGCCTCAAAAATCAGCTCAATCACCTGTTCCGGAGGTAAGGGGGTCAAGTCTAAGTTTGCAAGATCATTCAGCCAACCTTGACCCCGAATCAGATTTTCTTGAATTTCTAGGAACAAATTTTGCAAGTCTTGATCCAATTGCTTAAGCGATTTCTTTAGGTTTGCTGCTACTCCCAATATGAACTTGGATCATTCAGCCAACCTTGATCCCGAGTCCAAATTTTCAGCCTCTAAAGTAGCTACATCTGACTGAACCACTCACATGCAGGAATCGGACATGGCTGGATGAATGGTGCAACCATCCATCCGTCCATTCTGATGTCCACTGTGCATTCTGTGCACAGTGTATTGAATATTCCCTTGTCCCTCCATCCGTCTCTATTCTGAACCCCCCACACACTCACACACTCACAAAGGAGTCGGACATGGCTCATGACGCCATGCCACCGTTGCCTGCCAATACTTACAACCTGTTTTTACTTTTAGAATCCTCGAAGTATGTTTTTTGAGAATTCTCAAAAAACAGATTCGCCTTACACAAGGAACACCACTTGGTGGTGGGAGACATTACGAGGCTGCGGCTTCTGTAGTTAGCAAAAAGTTTAAAATTTAGAACACTTCAGGCTCGAGGGCCTGCTTGTAGAAAAAATTCTTGTGTGAATCAATATGGCGGTAACTAGTTTCTCAAAAAACAGATTCGCCTTACAACCGCACTTGTCAATCCCCGAGTCTTAACGACATGTTGAAACCCCCCCCCCCTTCCCCCCCGCTACTCCCACCCTTTACCACACACACACACAGGAGCTGGACGTGGCTGATGATGAGGTGACTTTTGAGTCGACTCAAAAGTCACATGTTGAGACAGCCCCCCTTTCCCCCCTACTCCCACCCTTTACCCCACACACACACAGGAGCTGGACGTGGCTGATGATGCCACCTCCCCCCGTCACACACAGGAACTGACCTCATCTGACCCCTTGTTACCCCATCTGACTCCTTGTTACCCCATCTGACTCCTTGTTACCCCATCTGACTCCTTGTCACCACACACAAACACAGGAGCTGGATGTGGCTGATGATGCCACCCTCCCCCCCATCACGCACACCCAGACCAAGTTTAGGCGCTGCTTCTCCACCCTGCTTAAAAAAGAGCTGCTGCCTGGACTTTTAACTAAGCGCCGAGCCTCTGCCGCTGCTGCTCCTCACTGTGGTGCTAATGCTGGCGGTTTTAGTGTTGGAAACATGGCGCCTGGACAGAAGAGTGGTTCTCTTGCTGAGAGTGTGGGCAGTGGGAGTAGAAGCAGCAGGTGCAGGCGGTATAAGCTGTACTTGTCGAAACAGAGGGGATTACAGAAGGTTGCTCAAAATTTCAAGTACTGAGTGTAGGGATGCAAAATATGGATTTGTGGTCGGGGATGAAGGCGCGTGTACACTTTGTACAGCTACACAAAATGCCTAACCCGTGCATTTGTATATCCCGGCCCTTGTTTCTCGTGCATTTAAATAGGAGCAAAGCAATGG